GGGGGAGGGGGGTGGGTAGTTTTGGGGTGCTGTGGGGGAGGACAGGCACCCCCGGGTCTCGGCAGACCCTCTGCCTGGGGGGAAGGAAGGGGTGACGGTGTCACCTGGAGCGGGGGACACCTTCCAGGTGGCCAGAGCGGGGGGAGGCGGCCAGAGTTTGTCACCTGGAGCATGTTCGACACCAGAGGTGGATGGCTGGAGCGGGGCGTGAGGGAGGTGGTACGTTAGCGAAGAGGCGGCAGGTGGGGGGCAACGAGGGGATGTTGAGCGTTGTCATCAGCGGCAGCTTCCCGACGTACGGCCTGCGCACTGCTCCGCTCTCGCACGGCGTTGGGGACTCGCGTGTGCCTGCATCCATAGGTTGCTCTTGCGGTATTTTCGGGTACTTGTGGGACTTCTCTACCCGTTTCTCCGGCTCGGAGAGTCTCTTGCCACGAACTGCAAAGCCACATCTTGTGACTTGTTTATTCTAGCTCTTCCACGGACGCACGCGACAAGTTAACATCAGTCAGGTGGTGGTTTCCTTTTGTAGAGAAGAAAGGCGCATCAGTACCGTGAAATCATTTCTTTCTTTCATTTTTTGTATTGCAACCCCTTACCTCATTATTGTTTTGTGAGATGAGCGTGTTCGGGAGCTGACTGTGCTGTCTAAACAGTTGCGCCGAAACAAAACTGTAAATTCACGGAGTACGAAGATTTTCTGTATTTTATTCTGAAATTGGAGCTCCTCAAAGCATGCAGCCTCTGAACAGCCTTTGCTAGTTGTATCTTAATGCTTTGAATATAGAAAAATGTGATGTATTTATGATGCTTTTATCTGAAGGGGAAGTTGTAAATGCAGGTGGCATGAGACCTTTTAATTGTATTTCTGTAGTGAACAGCCATTTGTTTTGCAGGTGATAGTGTCTGTGTATGTGAGCATGTGTTCATAGGTTCTGGGAGCTCTTTCTTATGAAAACCCCTTTTTAGTGACCAGGACGTGCTAGGTATTTTCTCTGTATCCGTATGTGTATGTAAATATAAATATACACATACATATATTTGAGATGATTAGTGTTAGAGCAGCAGTGCCTTTCCACTGCCTGCTGCATTTAGCGTGTTCGGGGTGGTTGCAGTGGAGCAGAGCGTGCTTGCGACTAACTGTTACTACCAGCTGGCAGCCTGATCCAACAAGTTTATTTTGCCTTTTCTGCAATGACCTTACAGTTAAGGACCTCAGACAAACTGCTGTTTTGCAAGCATAGTCTCCCTTTCCTTCCAAGATGGCTGTAATCCATTTTTATTGTCCACAGAGAGATCACGTTTGCATCAGAAATACAAGTCTTTTTTTTTTTTTTTTTTGAAAGGGGAACAACGAGAAAACACAAGAGAAAGGAATGACTTTCCATCCCAAGGCAGTTGGAGAAGTTTCCATTTTGCCGTATTGCTGGGTCTAATTACTCCTGAAGAGCTTTCAGTGGAGCACTGGGTTAAGGGGGTGATGGGTGTGTGCCTCCCTTTGCAGCACTGGCAGCCCTAAAACATCCTGTTTTGAAGATACTTCTGATGTTTATTTGTGTGTCTTGCTGGGTGATTCGAAGTATTTCCTATGGCCGTGCTCAGTGTGGAGACACCCAGGCAAATACCTGGGGTTTCTCTCTACCTAACGTTGTGTTCTGCCTGGAATCTAGCAGTTGGAGCTGCAAGCCAGAGATTGTCAGTGTCAGATGATGTCTTTTTTTCCACTGGCTTCAGTAGGTGTTGTATAATTAACAAGGAGGCACTTCAAGTCTCTTCTGTCTTCTCTATTGAATCAATAATATAGTATTGATGCAATTAGTAATCTTTGCTTAGTTAGAAACAGCAGCGGGTGACAAATATTTTGCAAAGTTATCTTACTTGAGTCAATATTTTCTATAATTTGTGCCCCCAACAGTGTTTTTATTTTATATGCAATAACAAAAGCCTAAAAAAATTATTACACCCACTCTAAAGCTGGCCATTTTCATTAGTCATTTTCCATCTCATTTCAACTATATAGTGTGATTTCCAAGCGCTTAATATTGTATATGTCTCCAGAGTTATAGATTACTGTTTTTCTTTCACTTGGGATTTCAAAGTAGGTGCAACATTGCCTACTGCTCCAGCAGGTCTTGAGAGAGCATCTTCCCAAATAAATGCAGAGCTGAATTGCTAGAAAGAGGAGCAGAGGCCAGGCTTTAGTTTAGTATGCGGTCTTTAGTCTTGATGTTCTGTGGAAGCAGAACTGATAAAATGTGGTGCACAAGCTCCCCTGGCACATCCCAAGGCAAGAGCCTGTAATCTGACAATGAAAACAATCATGCTTGAGCTTAGGAGACCCTAAGGGACGATCCAGAGTTTTTATTCCTCTCTTTGAAGCGTGGCAGCATGTCAGGAATTCAGAGGCTTCGGTCATAGCACTTTCTGATGCTCAAATGCAGGAGGATCGGTCTACACTACGGTATTGCCAAAACTGCATGCCAAAACAATTTCTCCAGTATAATTTCATTGAGGCTATACTACCAAACTAATTCATCCAAATTATCTTTTGTTTCTATAGGTTTCCCATTCTCCTAGTAGTGGTTCTAACGTGTATGTCTCAATGGCAGCCTCAGAAGCATTTGATGACATTTTGGACGCTC